GTGTATCTAATATCATTAGGTTCAGGAGCCTTAGTATCATCAGACCCAAGGGTCTGTTGAACCTCAGTATTCTCAGGTTCAAGAACCTCAGTATCTTCAATATACCTAGGTACAGGTTTAAGAAACCCAGTGTCCTCAATATCCCCAGTATCCTCAGGTTCAAGAACCCTAGTATTCTCAATATCTCAAGGTTCAGGAACGTGAGTGTCCTCAAACTCAGGAGCCTGTTCAACCCTAGTATCCTCAATATCAGGAGTTTGTTTAACCCCAGTATCTTCCCCAGTATCCTCAGGTTCAAGAACCCTAGTATTCTCAATATATCAAGGTTCAGGAGCGTGAGTGTCCTCAAACTCAGAAGTTTGTTCAACCCTAATGTCCTCTATATGAGGAGTTTGTTTAACCCCAGTATCCTTAGGTTCAAGAACCCTAGTATTCTCAATATCTCAATGTTCAGGAGCGTGATTGTCTTCAAACTTAGGAGTCTATTCAACCCCAGTATCTTCAGGTTCAAGAACCCCGGTATTTTCAACATCCTCAGGTTTTGGAGCCTCTGTACTCTCCGAAACAATAGCCCCAACTCCAGTACTCTCAATATCCCAAGGTTCAGGAGCCTCAGTATTCTCATACTTAAGAGCCTGCTCAACCCCAGCATTATCAGGTTTAAAAACCTCAATATCCTCACTATCCCGAGGGTCAAGGGCGTGAGTATCTTCAAACTCAGTAGTCTTTTCAATCCTCAGGTCAAGAACAACAATATCCCCAGATTAAGGAGCCCCAGTACTCTCAGACGCACTGCTCAACCCAAGTATCCTCTATATCAAGACGTCAATATCCCCCATGACTCAAGAGCCTGTTCAACTTTAGTATCTTGAGACGATATCCTCGAGTCCAAGAACCAACTCAATCTTAGATACAAAAATCTGCTTAACCTCAGTATCCTCATATTCAGGAGCCTTATTATCCGCAATCACAATATCATCAGGAGACTCAATATCATCAGGCACAATATCCTCAAGTCCAAGAACTTAAACAACCTTAGTATCCAAATTCATGATCCTGTTCAACCTTAGTATCCACAAACTCAAAACACAAGACATTATCTTTGATCGGGAATTACCTAAAAATATTTTGTTCAGCCTCTAAGAATCAGGTTTGCCAAATTGCAGCTACAACTTCAGTGGAAATTTTCTCAAAAACCTGCAGGACAGTGATTTCAAATAGAAACATTTTCACTTCAAAATGATGCTATATCGAAACTTGGAAATGTACAGATTTATTTCCGGAAAAATTAGTTTTACCCTCCATATATTCTTTAAGCCCTTCAATAGAAGACCTGAATATACTAAGATAATTGGTTATTATATGTAAATAGGAATATCGGTGCCTGAGTATCAACCCAAGGACATTTTCAGTGAAAGGTTAATACATTTATATATTATGGACCCATTATTATATATAAACGATCTAAAGAAGTTTTTCATTCATTGATCTGTTTTAGGATTTAATAGCTCGACACATTCTTGCTCTGATGCAAAATTAGAATTTATATATGACCTCTGTTGAAAATACTTTGAACAGAATTTTGTTTCTGATTATCATAGACTTCTGGTTCCAATTCATATGTTTATTGTCCAGTGGTCTACCTACTACTGAACTTTTACTAACCAGTACCAGTGGATCCCTTCAATGCCGAACGAGGATTTAGACAAGGTGACAGTTTGTCGTGTGATATTTTTAACATCCTGCTGGAGAAGGTCGTCCCGTATGACAAAGGTGAACTGAAATGACACTCTGTACACCAAACAACACATGTTACTCGCCTACGCCGATGACATCGATCGAGAATGCGAAATAGTCTGCCAAATTGGGTCTGGCAGTAAATGGCGAGAACACCAAACTGAGGGTATCAATGAGCAAGACGTCCAGTAGACTCGGACCAACTGTGGAACTTGAGAACTACTGCTTCGAGGTAGTTACAAATTTTATATACCTTGGTACCACCATAAATATAACTTATGACATCAGTTTTGAAATTCGGAGAAGGATAGTTTTGGCCAAGAGAGACTATTAAGGTCTATGTAAGCAGACCACCTCCCGCCAGACCAAACTCTCACTTTACAAGACGCTGATACTACCCGTTTTGTAATATGGACCTGAAGCATGGGTACTTGTGCAAGCAGATGAGGCAGCTCTTGGAGTGTTTGAGAGAAAGATCTATGGCCGATCTACATTGGCGCTGAATATAGTCGTCGAATGAACCATTGGACATCTCGGACATCGGTATCGAGATGCAGCCACGACGTTGGCCATGTTGTGTGGATGAATGAGAATACTCCAGATCAAAAGGCATATGAAATCGAACCTGCTGATGGTTCACGCAGAAGGGGAAGGCCACGAATTAGATGGAAAGATTAAGTGGAAAACAAGAACCCCAAACATGGTATTTTCTATTTGGAGGAGATACGCACAAGACCGACGCGCTTGGAAATCTTTCTTAAGCTTAGCTTATGGAACAAGCGTTCTGTAACAAGCCAGCTAAGTATGTAAGCAATTTCTTAAAATTAATCCTACGCTGATTCTACTGAGAATTTCTTACCACGCATGGGGAAAAACTCAGTTTTCGCAAGAACAAAAATATTAAATATACAGATAGGCGCATCCCGTCTGTATAAGAAATTAATGAGACATGGTGCTCCCGACTGTTCTTGATGAATGGTTGTAAGGCACTGATGTTATTTTAAAATATTTATCCTTAGGTACTACTTAAACTACTCTTGCTTAGCCTAATCTCAAACACAAAATACTTATCAATAAACTATTTGTTCTAATAATATAAATTGATCTGTGGAGAATTTCCCACCGTGTGCGCCATAAAATCTCAACATCGACAGCAACAGCCTTATCAGCGTTGCATGAGGGCCTTTAGAAATGAGGTCTTAAAACACTCCAACGATCAAATTTTCTCTAATACAAAATTCTGTTCAAAGCATTTTGAACATGCTGACGACTGGCAGGATAGGGTTAACAATTTAAATTTTTTGTTCAAAGGGTGCTGAACAAGCTCTATTCGTACATTTTCAAAATGTTGCTATAGACCCTTTCTATACCTCTTCCCTTGTATTAATTTTGAGATATCTATAAATTTCCTTTTACTGGATTGGTTATATTATGACATTATCGATTCTCAGTGGTAGGGTAGTTGGAGTATTGACACTTGAAACCCCCTGAGTTTGTATTATTTGACAACTACAGCACGTGTATAATTTTCTATTGTATTTTGTATAAATCGAATGACGTTATTCACCACGAACTTAAAATCTATTTACTTTTTTTCTTTTATGATTATTTGAAAATCCGCACAGCTGTTCAAACACTGAAAGCCTTGAATTAATTAAAAGAAATTATTTGTTTTCGTTCAGCCTTTTCTTTTTCGACAATGTATGCCGAAATTTGGTTATTTATTAATTCTTTGAATTGTCCCAAATAAATATATGTATATTTAAATATATAATTGTATTTCATATTCATATATCAGAAACAATTAATAATGCATTTAATAAATTGATTTCTAAGCTGAATTGAAAATTTAAACAAAGAAAAGAAAAAAATAATAATAGGAAAGGAAGTGTTTATTTAAAAAGGCAGTGCAGGACAGTGATTTCAAATGGAAACATTTTCACTTTAAAATTCAGACATAAGCTTCTAGGGTGCTCGAATATTATTATTTAGAAATTCCCCTGGAGGCTTGAAGATTAAAAAAACCTCTTTTAGATGTATTTTGGGGGTTTTTTAAATTTAATATTTAAAAATCAAGCTTGGAAGTCTTCGAGAGTTTAAGAATTTAAAAAAATCGCACCCCAAGAACTACATTCACATGGTATTGGCCCATTGCCTGGGTCACTGCTTCCGTGTGAACACTGATAATTCCTGCTCGATAAGCCTGTTGATCTAGTGGTTCTCTCTTGTACTGTTAGACCTCTCTCTCTAAATCATGTAGGTCTCTCCTTACGTGCCTGGGTGGGGAAATCCTATCCATAAGCATCGACAACATCCTGTTGTGACGATGTACGGGTAAGACCATTGCCTCCTCATGTAAATGGTCCACTGGCGTCATAACAAGGCACACTGTCGCACTCTGGCACCGACCGACCTATTGCTTTTAGGAGGTCAGCAAGGTCTCCTTATCATCACCCCATGATTCCCGGCAAGCGACTTGAGGACCTTGTTCTTGCTTCTCATCTTATCGCAAATAGCGGTGGCTTGCGCGGAAGACTTAAACCAAGGGCTGCCACCTCAACTACTACATGTTCGAGCAACATTGGAGTGTGGAGTTAGATGGTGGTGGCCGGATTTCCCTTAAACTGTATTTGGCATTTATATCAAAATAATTTGGAAAATGCATATGCGAATTGTGTAATACAATGAAATCCAAAACTAACCACGCAATCGAGTGAGTGGAGAGACGGCGGTTATTGACAAAATTAAACAGTAGTCAAACGGTTGCAAAACTATCAACCACCATGTAATGGGAGAGGCAGAGGACGATACTAAAACAAAACGCTGCAAAATTAAAGGGAGAGAGAGAGAAAGGGAAACATGAGAAAAAAATAGTGTCTTCCTCATGATAATAAGAATTTTAATTCTAAGCGAGCAATATTTTTTTTCCAGATTTGAGATGTACCTCGCTTAGAATAAAAGGAAATTATGAAAATATTTCTTAGCAAATTGATTCTGATCTCGAAAATTAATATTTGAAAAGAGCACACTTACAGCTTTGATGAACCTTGAAAAAATATTCTTTGAAATTTTTAATATTTTTTAACCCCTGTGCTGTACTGATCTATTGTTCTACATGCATTTTTCCATGTCGAACAAATAGAAAAATGGCTTAAATATAAGACCTATACACCACATACCCTTAGTACAGTTTTGGTCTTTAGGGTCCAAAACACAGTAGCGTATACCCACCCTCACCCACATTAAGCAAAACAAAAATCGTAATGAAATTTAAGGCTACCCTGGCCCTAGTATTGGGTGTAATTGGTGTAATACCAATTACCCTGGCATACGTCGTACCCTATACCTGGCAAGGTGAGTTCCATAACATTTTACAAAACACTTTTCGATATTTTACAACATCGCGTTCGCTTTGCAGAGGCCTATGATAGCAGTAACAGATATCAATATGTCTTTTATCCAGAGGGTACATCATCTGGATATTCAGGACAACCAATGACAACACCGGCTAGAGGTTACAGTGGCACGTATAATCCTGCTTATACCAATGCTGCTGGTGTTTATTATACAGCTGGTCCTGCAAGTAGCACTTATCCTATGAGTTCATCGAATTCCGCTAGGATGGCGAGTGGTGTAGCAGTTCCAGCAAGTAGTTCATATACTGGAAGCTCATCAAGCTCAGCCATGAATGCAAATAGAGCAATTGCGCGGGCAAGCCAATCATATAGCATGAGTTCTTCGGGAACCGCTAGGACTGCTAATGGCGCAGCTAACCCTGTAAGCAATACATACCCCATGAGTACCTCAGGCCCAGCTAGAACTGCTAATGGAGCAGCTGTCTCTGCTAGTGGTTCGTACGCCATGAGTTCACAAGGTTCCACAAGAAATTCAAATGCAGCAACAGGTCCTTCAACGGGTTCAAATACATCAGCACGTCCAACTTCAACGAGCCCATCAAGTTCCACTAGGCAATATACAACGACGTCAATTGCAACTCCTCAAAACTATCCCACCAGGAATACTAATGGAGCACCAAGTCCGACAAATACTGCATATCCCACGACTTCCTCGAGTACAACTGGATCAGTAGTTTTTGCTTCCACAATGAACTCACCAAGTTCGACTAGGCAGTATACAACAACATCGAGTTCTATGCCCCAAACCAATCCCACAAAGAATGCAGGTGCTTCAAGCACGGTTTCCAATAAAGCTAATGCAGCTCCCGTGAGTAGTACATACCCCATGAGTTCATCAAACACTGTCAGATATGCCAACGGAGCAGTAGGTCCTTCAAGTACAACATATCCTATGACTACCTCGAGTGCAAATCGAGCAGTAATTCCTTCCGCTGGTACTTATCCCATGAGTTCATCGGGGAATCCCACAAATGTAAATACAGCCACCGGTCCTGGAAGCAGTACATACCCCATAAGTAACTTAAGAAATCCAAATGGAGCAGCTGCCCCTGTAAGTGGTGCTTCACCAATGACCTCTTTGCCTAACAACCGACATAATACATATACGTCGGGCGCCACTCCCCAAAGCAATCCCAACTCACCCAAAAATCTTCCCTCCACGCAAGCAACCAGTCCCACCACCTATTGGTATCCCAACCAAAGACCCCTATCATCAAATTATGGCCATAATGTTGGGAATACCGTTGTCGGAGGTGCTGTCACTGCTGCCAGTGGAGTTGTTAGCGGATTTGACACAGCCACTACCAGTATTGCCAATGGTGCAGCTGGCGTTGCCAATAATGTTGCCAATGCTGCTGCTGGCCTCCTGAGCGGCGATGCAGAACAAATTGCCAACGCTGCTGGCGGTGTTATAAATGATGTGGCAACTACGGCTGTGAATGTTGCCAATAGTATTGGTACTGCAGGCGTGGGAATTGTAAAAGGCACTGTGGATGCAGCCAATGCCATATTGAATGGATTTTTCGGTAGTGGAGGAAATACAGGAGTGTCTCTGGGAGCAAGCGCGGGTGGATCTGGAGGTTTGAACCTTGGAGCCAATGCTGGCCTCGGAGGAGGAGTAGGAGGAAAAGCAAACGGTGGACTGTCTCTCGGGGCAGGAGTTGGAGGACAAGCCGCTGGTTCCGGAGGTTTAGGTCTAAATGGAAATATCGGTGCCGGTGGTAATATTGGCGGAACCGGAGGCTTAAGCCTCGGTGCAAATGCTGGCCTGGGTGGAGGAGTAGGAGGGAAAGCAAACGGTGGACTGTCTCTCGGAGCAGGAGTTGGAGGACAAGCCGCTGGTTCCGGAGGTTTAGGTCTAAATGGAAATCTTGGTGCCGGTGGTAATATTGGCGGATCCGGCGGTTTGAGCCTTGGTGCAAATGCCAATGCTGGCTTGGCAGGAGGAGTAGGAGGAAAAGCCAACGGAGGACTGTCTCTCGGGGCAGGAGTTGGAGAACAAGCCGGTGGTTCCGGAGGTTTAGGCCTAAATCTTGGTGCCGGTGGTAATATTGGCGGAACCGGAGGCTTGAGCCTCGGTGCAAATGCCAATGCTGGCCTAGGAGGAAAAGCAAACGGTGGACTGTCCCTCGGAGCAGGAGTTGGAGGACAAGCTGGTGGTTCCGGAGGTTTAGGTCTAAATGGAAATCTTGGTGCCGGTGGTAATATTGGCGGATCCGGCGGTTTGAGCCTTGGTGCAAATGCCAATGCTGGCTTGGGAGGAGGAGTAGGAGGAAAAGCCAACGGAGGACTGTCTCTCGGGGCAGGAGTTGGAGGACAAGCCGGTGCATCTGCAGGTTTGGGTCTAAATGGAAATCTTGGTGTCGGTGGTAAACTTGGCGGATCCGGCGGTTTGAGCCTTGGTGCAAATGCTGGCTTGGGAGGAGGAGTAGGAGGAAAGACAAACGGTGGACTGTCTCTCGGAGCAGGAGTTGGAGGACAAGCCGGTGGTTCCGGAGGTTTAGGCCTAAATCTTGGTGCCGGTGGTAATATTGGCGGTTCCGGAGGCTTGAGCCTCGGTGCAAATGCTGGCCTGGGTGGAGGAGTAGGAGGAAAGGCAAACGGTGGACTGTCTCTCGGAGCAGGAGTTGGAGGACAAGCCGGAAATCTTGGTGCCGGTGGTAATATTGGCGGATCCGGCGGTTTGAGCCTTGGTGCAAATGCCAATGCTGGCCTAGGAGGAAAAGCAAACGGTGGACTGTCTCTCGGAGCAGGAGTTGGAGGACAAGCTGGTGGTTCCGGAGGTTTAGGTCTAAATGCAAATCTCGGTGCCGGTGGTAATATTGGCGGATCCGGCGGTATGAGCCTTGGTGCAAATGCCAATGCTGGCCTAGGAGGAAAAGCAAACGGAGGACTGTCTCTCGGGGCAGGAGTTGGAGGACAAGCCGGTGGTTCCGGAGGTTTAGGTCTAAATGGAAATCTTGGTGCCGGTGGTAATATTGGCGGTTCCGGAGGCTTGAGCCTCGGTGCAAATGCTGGCCTGGGTGGAGGAGTAGGAGGAAAGGCAAACGGTGGACTGTCTCTCGGAGCAGGAGTTGGAGGACAAGCCGCTGGTGCCGGAGGTTTAGGTCTAAATGGAAATCTTGGTGCCGGTAAATGGAAATGCTTGGAGCCGCAAATGGTGGACTGTCTCTCGGAGCAGGAGTTGGAGGACAAGCTGGAGGTTCCGGAGGTGTGGGTCTAAATGGAAATCTTGGTGTCGGTGGTAGTCTTAGCGGATCCGGCGGTTTGAGCCTTGGTGCAAATGCCAATGCTGGCTTGGGAGGAGGAGTAGGAGGAAAAGCCAACGGAGGACTGTCTCTCGGAGCAGGAGTTGGAGGACAAGCCGCCGGTGCCGGAGGTTTAGGTCTAAATGGAAATCTTGGTGCCGGTGGTAATATTGGCGGTTCCGGAGGATTGAGCCTCGGTGCAAATGCTGGCCTGGGTGGAGGAGTAGGAGGAAAGGCAAACGGTGGACTGTCTCTCGGAGCAGGAGTTGGAGGACAAGCCGCTGGTGCCGGAGGTTTAGGTCTAAATGGAAATCTTGGTGCCGGTGGTAATATTGGCGGATCCGGCAGTTTGAGCCTTGGTGCAAATGCCAATGCTGGCCTAGGAGGAAAAGCAAACGGTGGACTGTCTCTCGGAGCAGGAGTTGGAGGACAAGCCGGTGGTTCCGGAGGTTTAGGTCTAAATGCAAATCTCGGTGCCGGTGGTAATATTGGCGGATCCGGCGGTATGAGCCTTGGTGCAAATGCCAATGCTGGCCTAGGAGGAAAAGCAAACGGTGGACTGTCTCTCGGGGCAGGAGTTGGAGGACAAGCCGGTGGTTCCGGAGGTTTAGGCCTAAATCTTGGTGCCGGTGGTAATATTGGCGGAACCGGAGGCTTGAGCCTCGGTGCAAATGCTGGCCTGGGTGGAGGAGTAGGAGGAAAGGCAAACGGAGGACTGTCTCTCGGAGCAGGAGTTGGAGGACAAGCCGCTGGTGCCGGAGGTTTAGGTCTAAATGGAAATCTTGGTGCCGGTGGTAATATTGGCGGATCCGGCGGTTTGAGCCTTGGTGCAAATGCCAATGCTGGCTTGGGAGGAGGAGTAGGAGGAAAAGCCAACGGAGGACTGTCTCTCGGGGCAGGAGTTGGAGGACAAGCCGGTGGTTCCGGAGGTTTAGGTCTAAATGGAAATCTTGGTGCCGGTGGTAATATTGGCGGTTCCGGAGGCTTGAGCCTCGGTGCAAATGCTGGCCTGGGTGGAGGAGTAGGAGGAAAGGCAAACGGTGGACTGTCTCTCGGAGCAGGAGTTGGAGGACAAGCCGCTGGTGCCGGAGGTTTAGGTCTAAATGGAAATCTTGGTGCCGGTGGTAATATTGGCGGATCCGGCGGTTTGAGCCTTGGTGCAAATGCCAATGCTGGCCTAGGAGGAAAAGCAAACGGTGGACTGTCTCTCGGAGCAGGAGTTGGAGGACAAGCCGGTGGTTCCGGAGGTTTAGGTCTAAATGCAAATCTCGGTGCCGGTGGTAATATTGGCGGATCCGGCGCGTTGAGCCTTGGTGCAAATGCCAATGCTGGCTTGGGAGGAGGAAAGAAAAGCCAACGGAGGACTGTCTCTCGGGGCAGGAGTTGGAGGACAAGCCGGTGGTTCCGGAGGTTTAGGCCTAAATCTTGGTGCCGGTGGTAATATTGGCGGTTCCGGAGGCTTGAGCCTCGGTGCAAATGCTGGCCTGGGTGGAGGAGTAGGAGGAAAGGCAAACGGTGGACTGTCTCTCGGAGCAGGAGTTGGAGGACAAGCCGCTGGTGCCGGAGGTTTAAGTCTAAATGGAAATCTTGGTGCCGTTGGTAATATTGGCGGATCCGGCGGTTTGAGCCTAGGTGCAAATGCCAATGCTGGCCTAGGAGGAAAAGCAAACGGTGGACTGTCTCTCGGAGCAGGAGTTGGAGGACAAGCCGCTGGTGCCGGAGGTTTAGGTCTAAATGGAAATCTTGGTGCCGGTGGTAATATTGGCGGTTCCGGCGGTTTGAGCCTTGGTGCAAATGCCAATGCTGGCTTGGGAGGAGGAGTAGGAGGAAAAGCCAACGGAGGACTGTCTCTCGGGGCAGGAGTTGGAGGACAAGCCGGTGGTTCCGGAGGTTTAGGCCTAAATCTTGGTGCCGGTGGTAATATTGGCGGTTCCGGAGGCTTGAGCCTCGGTGCAAATGCTGGCCTGGGTGGAGGAGTAGGAGGAAAGGCAAACGGTGGACTGTCTCTCGGAGCAGGAGTTGGAGGACAAGCCGCTGGTGCCGGAGGTTTAGGTCTAAATGGAAATCTTGGTGCCGGTGGTAATATTGGCGGATCCGGCGGTTTGAGCCTAGGTGCAAATGCCAATGCTGGCCTAGGAGGAAAAGCAAACGGTGGACTGTCTCTCGGAGCAGGAGTTGGAGGACAAGCCAGTAGTTCCGGAGGTTTAGGTCTAAATGCCAATCTCGGTGCCGGTGGTAATATTGGCGGATCCGGCGCGTTGAGCCTTGGTGCAAATGCCAATGCTGGCCTAGGAGGAAAAGCAAACGGAGGACTGTCTCTCGGGGCAGGAGTTGGAGGACAAGCCGGTGGTTCCGGAGGTTTGGGTCTAAATGGAAATCTTGGTGTCGGTGGTAATCTTGGCGGATCCGGCGGTTTGAGCCTTGGTGCAAATGCTGGCTTGGGAGGAGGAATAGGAGGAAAGGCAAACGGAGGACTGTCTCTCGGGGCAGGAGTTGGAGGACAAGCTGGTGGTTCCGGAGGTTTAGGCCTAAATCTTGGTGCCGGTGGAAACCTTGGCGGTTCCGGAGGTTTGAGCCTCAACGGCAATGCGAATGCTGGTCTCAACCTCGGCGGAGGAATCGATGGAAACTTAGGCATAAATGCAAACTCTAACACAGGCTTGGGAGCTAACGGTTCAGGTGGCCTCAATGTGAATGTTAACACCGGAGGCAATGGCGGTGGTCTCTTAGGTGGACTACTCAATGTTTTTGACAATGTTGTCAACACTGCAGGTAATATAGCCGAAAATGTTGTCTCTGCAACTGGTGATATAGTTGGCGGTGTTGCCAACGTGGCTGGAAATGTTGTCAACACTGTTGCTCAAACAACTGGCAATGCCGTTGGAAGTGTTTTGAGCGGCCAAAGTGGTGTAACTGTTGGCAGTACTGGTCAGACAAGTGGTAATGCTTTTGGAAATTCTTGGAGTAACAGAAATCCCAGTGGTAATCGTGGCCTTCTAGGTGGTCTATTGGGTTAAGCGGGAATAATGAATATAATTTGCGACTTTTTCGAAATTTTTTAATTTATAATGAGTTTATTGAACGTTATATAATTTGATATAGACATGGAATCATAATTTTTCACGAATAAACGAAATATTATATGTAATTATTTATATATGTGTTTTACATTGAGGCAGTAGCATCGCTTAGCTTGTTTTGAGAATAATATTAGTAATTAAAGTGTGTCCAAGTAGCTTGTGGTATTTGATCACACGTCTTTCATTTATTTTAGATGTGATTCAAAACCCTTGTTAATATATCATAATTAATAATATGAAAATAGAGAATAAAAAATATATGCTGTAATAAGGCGTATCAGAAGCAAGGATGACGATCCTTGCTTTGCTCCCACTTTAGTGCGAATAGATTGGCATATGTTTCCATTGTGCAGAACTGTATTCTCGTACATCGCTGTTACTATTCGGATTATTTTTTGGGGCACTTCCCTTTTGTTCAACGCTTCCCATATGGCAATTCGTCTGATGGTATTCAAAGCTAGATCCAGTGTGGATCGTCATTCTATAGATTATTCTATTATGACTCGTAGTGTGTTGGTCTGGTCCACACAGCTTCTATTTGGTCAGAAGCCAGTTTCTTCATCTCTCAGAATGTTTTCTATTTGCCGTTGAATTCTTTTCCCTATTGTGGTGGCTACAATTTTTCCAGATGGTGTTAAGTTGTGGTATTTCAGTTATTACAATATTTTAAGTCGATATTTTTTGACCTCATCGTTATTGTTTTTAACTGCTAATCCATATTTTTTCATTGTTGAACGATCCTTGGTGCTGTTACTTCCTGTTTTAGCGTTAAAGTCACCCATATAAAATTAATCGTTAACAGTTTATTTAGGATCCTCCGTGGGCTACGTTGACGTGTCTTGCATTACTTTTGAATCGTATCAGTAGCACACGATCAGATATTGATTTTCATGTCTCCAACGAATTCTTAGTCTTCTTCAGCATTGTGATCTCAACTCCGAGTTCACCGACATTTTCTTTGCCATTTTTTATTAGAAGTTCATAGCTTCAATTCCATCTCATTTCGTCTTAAGCTAATATTTCCATCTTCTATGATGGTGTTCAGGCTGTGTAAGGCACAATTCTTCACGAAGTGTTCGTACTTTACATTACGCAATGTGTGTCCAATTATTTTTTGCCAAAGGTCATTGCCAAAATATCCTGTTGTGGTTCACTTTGCCTTGTCCTCGATTCGTACATGATATTTTATTGCAGCTAAGTAGATGGTTGGTCTAATGTAGCTTGTCCTACGTCAAGAGGCTGCCATCTATATCGTGGCCTAGGAACAATGCCTCCTTGAATTTGTTCAAAGTGGTTGAGGTCTTAGCTTATTATCTGTTCAGTGTTACCATTCCTATTTGTGCAATCATCGCGTATTTTTGCGAAGACGAGCATATATAGGGGAAGTGGTGGCAGCACTCGAGGAATTTTTGGTAACTTGGGTTGTGGTGATGTCTCTGGAAATATCGGAGTAAATTTTGGTGGATCGACAGGCATAAACTGGGGATATAGCAGCGGTGGTGGCGGTCTAAAAGCCACTAGCTAGGAGCACAGGTGGCGTCTCGGGAAATTTTGGTGGTTCAACTGGCTAAAACTGATGATCAAGCGGCGGTAGTGATGATCTAAAAGGCAGCATTGGTGGTGGTATCTCTCGAGGAAATATTGGCGATGGTTCAACCAGCATTTCTTAGGAAACAGCCGACAGTACGTGTGGATATCTGGTTAGTACCATTACCAGGTAGATAGGTGGCATTAACGGCGGAACAATTACCGGTGGAAGTTCGAATGAAAATCAAGGGGGTAACTTGGGTAGTAGTAGTGTCTCTGGAAATTTCAGAGTAAATCTTAGTGCATCGATTGGCATAAATTAGGGGATCTAGCGGCAGCATTGGTGATTTAACAGGAAGCATTGATGGTGTTATTTTTGTAGGAAATCTTGGTGGTGGTTCCACTTGCATTTCTTTAGAACTGATCACAGTACAGGTGACGTCTCGGGAAATGTTGGTGATTCAACTGCCTAAAACTGAGGATCAAGCGGCGATAGTGCTGGTCTAACAGGCAGCATTGGTGGTGGTATCTCTCGAGGAAATATTGGTGATGGTTCAACCAGTTTTTCTTTGGAAACAACCGGTAGTGCGTGTGGAAATCTGGTTAGTACCATTACCAGGTAGATAGGTGGCATTAACGTCGGAACAATTACCGGTGGAAGTTCGAATGAAAATTAAGGTGACGCCTTCAATTTGTTTATAGTGGTTGGGATCCTTGCTTATTATTTGTTCAGTGTTGCCATTCCTATTTGTGCAATCATCGTGTATTTTTGCGAAAACGAGCATATATTGGATAAGTGGTGGCAGCACTGGAGGAATTTTTGGTAACTTGGGTAGTGGTGGTGTCTCAGGAAATCTTGGAGTAAATCTTGGTGCATCGACTGGCATAAATTAGGAGATCTCGCTGCAGTGTTGACGATTTAACAGGCAGCATTGGTGGTGGTATTTCTAGAGGGAATCTCGATGGTAGTTCCACCAGCATTTCCTGAAAAACTAGTGGCAGTAAATCTTGGTGCATCGACTGGCATAAACTGAAGATCTTACAGCGTTGGTGGCGATCCTAAAGGGCAGCATTTGTGGTGGTATCTCTGGAGGAAATCTTGGTGGTGGTTTCACCAGCTTTTCCTTTGGAAATGGCAGGAGTGCAGGTGGCGTCTCGGAAAATCTTTTTTGTTAGACTGGCATAAACAGGGGATCTAGCGCCGGTGGTAACAGCATTTATGGTGGTACCTCTGGAGCAAATATTGGTGATGGTGCAGATGGAAATCTGGATAGCACCATTACTAGACAGATAAGTGGCATTACCGGCGGAACAATTACTGGTAGTGGTTCCACCTACTTAAACTGTCTAACAAGTAGCAGTAGTTACGGTCGAATAGGCAACATTGGTGGTGGTATCTCTGGAGGGAATCTTAGTGGTGGAAAATGGCGGCAGTGTATGTGGAAATCAGGTGGTGCCTTCAATTTGTTTATAGTGGTTGGGGTCCTTGCTTATTATTTGTTCAGTGTTGCCATTCGTGCAATTATCGAGTATTTTTGCGAAGACGAGCATATATTGGGGAAGTTGTGGCAGCACTGGAGGAATTTTTGTTAAATTGGGTAGTGGTGGTGTCTCTGGAAATATCGGAGTAAATCTTGGTGCATCATCAACTGGCATAAATTAAGGGAACTAGCAGCGGTGGTGGCGATCCAAAAGGCAGCATTGGTGGTTGTATTTCTGGTGGTGGTTCCACAAGCATTTCCAGAAGTACAGGTGGCGTTTCGGGGTATCTTGGAGGTTCGACTGCCTAAACTGAGGAATTTTAACCATGAGAAGTACAACGACCTTGCATTTTTGAGGTGAACGATTTTCTGAATATTTAATTAAAAATGCAATAGCAAATTATTTATCTAAATTAATTAAACAAATGTTTATTAAAATAAATGAATAAAAAAATATATATAAAAATAAGAAATTGCAATTCAATGGGAAATTAATTTTCTAATTGGTACAAATCAATGAATACCAAAGAAATTCTAGCTCAGATCATACCATCTTTCCTTTGAAGATCATATATATTTATTTGAAGTTCATGGTAAAGAATAATCCATTAACGTCATAATGCGGAACACAAAACGAGAACCAAATAAATAATCATGTTTAACAATGGGAATGTGAATACCCTACAGTAGAACATAAATGCCGATAGAACGGAGGTGTATCGAATACGCTTAAGAAACGGGACGTTATGACGGTTCCACACATTTTTTGTATTTGAACAAAAATCTAGAATATTTTCATAACCTCCAAATTAATTAAACATTGTTGTAATCCTTGAAAGCCCGATTTCCGTTACTTCCAACATACAACAAACATGCATAGAGTAATTGCGATGAGATTGCTTAGTGGGACGTGCGCCCAGGACATAGTCGTAGTATTAAGTTTTCTTGTTTAGTGTGTAAGTTGTAAATATTGCTCTCAATAAAGCCACCAGCCATGGCACAAGTTTGTCGTTTCATTTCATCCGCTACCAGGAGAAAAATATTAACCTGAGTAGTGGATCCACCAGCATTTCATAGGGATCTAATGGCGTTAGCACTCAGGTTGATGTCTCAAGAAATCTAGGAGTAAATCCTGATGGATCGACTGGTATAAACTGGGGGCATATACTAGCAGAGGTATTTGCTGATTAACAGACAGAGTAGGAGGTGTTATCTTTGGATGAAATCTTTGTGGTGCGTCCACCAGCATATCCTGGGAAACTGTCTGCCTTACAGGTCGCGTCAGCACGGAGGGTGGTGTCTCAGGAAATCTTGGAGTTAATCCGTAACGATCCGAAATTAGTTACAACAGCCAAATTTTAAAGATGAATGTTGCCATGACACAAGGAATGAGTTGGCTTCTGATGATGCTCCCGCTAAAAATACGCGTCTGGCTAAAGTAGGGTAACTCAGCGTAACTTCGACCCCCTTTTCATTTCCTTTGCTTGTTATATTTACTTCAAATATTTAAATTCAGAACATTATTCTCAAATAATACAAGCGTTGTGTAAATAATTTAACAACTGCGTATAAAAATATTCAATTCAAAACCCCATTTTGTTCTTCAAATAATATAACAATTATTTTCGGCGAAGTGGTTCAACGGAAATCTTTTGTCATCGAATAGAAAAACATTTGTTTTTCCATTGAAACGCTATAAATATGTAGAATATAGCGATGGCTGTTATCATAGGTTTGGTCGACAGCGTTGGGATAACGAATCTGCAAAGAACGAAGAACAACCGTTAAACAAAAAAATACAAAAATATGAAATATTCTCTAAGTGCCACCCTGGCCATTATGCTGGGCATAATGGGCCATACGCCCTGGTCACAGGCGGCAACAAGTTTGTCATTGAGTAAGTGTGAAGATCATATAAAATGGAGGTCT